CCCGGCCCCGGCTCCGCGCCGCGCCGGCGCCGCACGAGCGACGCGAGGAGCACGAGATTCGCGAAGGCCATCGTGAGCTCGTTGCAGTACTCGATCTCGTGGCTCGCGACCTCGAAGGCCTCGAGGTTCAGGGTCACGAGCAGCGCGGGCACGAAGGTGGCGACGACGTCGAAGAAGAGGAGCAGCTTCAGCAGGTTCGGCCGGTTCGAGATCGACGACAGCGCGCGCGGCGTGTAGACGAGCGCGAAGGCCTCGACCATGGCGTAGGCCGCCGTCGCCCAGAACTCGAGCGCGTGGAAGACGAAGGCGGACACGGGCGACCCGCAGCGCGCGACGTAGACGCTGTCCGGGTCGCCGCAGTCGTCGTCGTCGCGGTTCAGGTAGTTGAGCACGAACATGGTCACGTTCACGCCTAGGGAGGACGGTCGTCGGACGTCGCATGCCCAAGGACGCCGGACGGCGTGCCCATGTAGAGCAGCGTGAGGAGCGCGAGGACGAAGTTGACGAAGCACAGGTCCTTGAGCTCCTGGACACGGAAATGCAAGATAATGTTGCTGCTCACGTTCAACCGGCCGTCGCGCGGGAACGCCGGCAGGGCCGGACCGCGCAGCGGCGTCGTCTCCTTCGGCGTCGAGGGCGCGACCCAGCCATTGCCCGGCAGCTCCATCGTGCGAATTGGAAGCGCTGCCCCGTCGACCTTGACGTGGAGAAACTTAAACCGCGCGCTCGCTCGATCTTTTGGCGCCGGGCTGCTTATGACAGCACCCCTGCGGAACGCTATGTTACGGAGCGACTCCCTGGAGAACATGAAGAAGTACGTGTCGAACTACAACATCCTCGACGGGCCGAAGAAGGCGCCGGCGACGGTGCGCTTCACGCGCGACGCGAACATCGAGATCATCCGCGTCTCCAACGGCGACGACGACGTCGACTTCTTCGGCACGCCCGTGGCGCCCGACGGCCCCGGCCCCGGCGCCCGCGAGGCGCCGGCGGAGGCCGCGGCGCCGGCGCGCGCCGACGACAAGCTCCGGGCGACGGCCTTCGGCCGGCTCCTCGAGGACGAGCGCCGCGCCGCCGCGCCGCCGGCCGCCGGCGACGGCGCGCGCGACGGCGAGCGCGCGCGCGGCGGCGACGGCGGCGGCGACGACGGCGCGAGCTCCGACGACGGGAGCGTGGCGCGCTCCGACGACGGGAGCGTGGCGCTCAGCATCGCGTCGACGGCCGCGGACTCGCAAAGCGCCGAAAACCGCCGCGAGATGATGACCGTCCGCGTGCGCCGCGCCGACGGCCGCGTGCGGCGGACGCTGCGCGTGCCCCAGTCGACGGACCTCGAGCTCCTCGTCGCGTCCGTCGCGCGCGAGGAGGGCGTCGCCGCCGCGCGGTGCCGCGTCAAGCCCCGCGACGGGCAGCCGCGGCCGCGGCCGCGGCCGCCGCGCGCGGCCGCGGCCGGCGCGGACGCCGCGCGGCGCCGCGCGCGGACGGCATTCGAGCGCCGCGCGCTCGGCCTGCTCTGCGTCGTCGCCGCGGTGGTCGCGCTCCTCGCCGGCGGGCTCCGGCGGGCGCCGCCGCGCGGCGGCGACGTCGTCGCGCTGGGCGAGGCGCGGTCCGAGCTCGAGGCGCTCCACGCGGAGATCACCGCGGCGCGCGACGAGCTCCGCGACGCGCGCGACGAGATCAAGCGCCTCTCGAAGCAGATGCAGGCCGCCGTCCGCGAGGCCCGGCGCGCGGCCGGCGGCGCCGAGCCGCGGCCGCGCCGCGCGAACCCGCTCCTCAACGTCGTCACGCTCGGCGCCGCGGGCCGCCGACAGCGGCGGCGACGCGGCGACTAGCCCGCCGCGAGGAGCCTAGCCCGTCTCGAGTTTAGCATCATTGCCTCTCGAGGCGCACCGTGAATCGCGGAACTCGCTTCTCGATGAAGTCTCGCGAGACCACCTCATACCCTTGCTGGAGCGAGCCGTCTTTCCTGGTGCCGCCGTAGCGGTAGGTCACCGTGCGCGCGTTCAGGTCCGCGCTTTCGAGAATCATCGAATCGCCGACCCGTCA